TAAAGTCTTGTTCTCAACCGACCCTTATTTTCAATTTCTAAATGCAAGTCGAGCTATTAGGTAGACATAACTGTATATGTGGTATCTTGATAAACACCATCGTCCTCTAAACGTAACAATTATGATGCAATCAAGAAATCAAACATTTTGATAATGTTACTTTCAGAGAATTTGAATCATAGTGATTTTTACAAAGTACGATTAATCCCTCCTTAAGACAAAATAATTGTATCTACGTTGGCCATTCTTTTTTATAAATTAAAGCAGGACCAACTCTTTAAATTTGTTTCTATAGATTGGAAAGGAGAATACTTGTGTAAAGTATAGAAAAGTCAAAAGTTTTAATACTATTGCAAGTCTAAGCTTATATGGACTCTAACAGATCTTTCGAACTTTTTGGTATCCACAAGTATCCGATTCACAACGCCTCTAGAATATGCAGTTTCACTATAACTTTGAAGCCCGGCTTTGATTACTGATAAAATTGATGTTACCAATTTAGAAAGAGGTTCCCCCTTGGAAGACCAAGCATTATAACGTTGTTTGTAAGAACACTTATGTAATTATAAAGGTGTCTAATACAATGATCGAAGATCCAGTTCTTCATCTTTGATATAAATCCCAAAGGAACATAGAACAGACATATGATTATCCTTGATTACCTCCTTGGTTAAAGAGGGGCGAAAGATACCAGAGGGACAGTCAAACTCATAGATCGAAAATGAACTGAAAGTGTCGTGGGGCTATTGAATTGTCAATACCTAAAATTGAGAATGGAAATGGGGAATGTGTCAAAGAGACAACAACCCGACCACAGAACAGACAACAGCAGAAGGTCACCAACAGGTCTCCAATTCAGCGATAAATTCCCGCACCCGGAGGCGTCCTTCAGCTGGCCCCTAAACAAATATATATACTAGTTCAGTGATAATGAACGCCATACTAAACTCCAAATTGTACACAAGAAACTAAAATTACAAATAATACAAGACTCTCAAAGGCTAGAAGCTCCTGACTAGGGACAGGCGCAAAAATGCGGCGGGGTTAAACATGTTTATGAGATCTCAACCCTCCCCCTATACCTCTAGCCAATGTAGAAAAGTAAACGCATAACAATACGCACATTAAAATTCAGTTCAAGAGAAGTCCGAGTCTGATGTCAGGAGATGTAACCAAAGAAAATAAACAAAATAACAATAATACATAAATAACAACAGACTACTCGCAGTTAAATGACATGCCAGCTCCAGACTTCAATTAAACTGATTGAAAGATTATGTCTTCATCATATGAATATCAGGCACAATCCTTCCCTTTACTTCATTTGACAGCTGTTTATATAGTGTGATTTGCACACAAAAACGATGTTTTTGGGGCTTATCCTCGGGTACAACAACATATTTTTTCATGGCGGTAGGAAAGGTGCTTTGCAACACTTCGGTCTTAAAGATTTTCAAAGCATCTGTATTCATAGACCCATTCATTTTTTTTTTTATTTTGATTTGTATCAACGACCTCACTACCTTAATCCATTCTGAAAGAGTATCTACGTCTTCTTTCTTTCGTTGAACTAATTGCCAGACATAATCGTAGACTGAAATCATAATTTTTAATAAGTTGTGTTTCTAATTGATTGAATAAGGAGGGTAGGAATGCCCTTTACCGTCGGGCGTCAAATGGTCATTTTCGGCTACCGTTAGCGTCAAATTGGTTAACATTTTACCGTGATTCTTCAAATGGCAAAATTTGGGGTAATTTGCTAATTTGCATAGCAGCCATTTTGCCTTCTCCTTCTTCCTTTATAGTACAGGCCTCCCATGGGAGTATTATCGTACTGTTTTATGTACATGTTCGATGTGAGAACAAATGTGCGGGTAAGTGCGAATTATCTACAGTGAAAATGGTGCTTCTTTAAAATAACGATAAAAACAAGGTTGTACATCTATCGAAGCTGGACCACTTGCACACCCCTTTTGTATGATTCAAGGGTTGTACAGATTACTAAGTGTTGTGGCAGTCCATTCCAGATTCTGATGGTATCTGGGAAAAACGAGTATCGATATACTTGAGTCCTGGCAAAAGGAACGAGGAATCGTTCTTTGTGTCCTCTTACTGTTGATGTTACTGGCTGTAGATTTGTAGTTGGTATGGCAATCAGTTCGTGCACTACTCTATAAAACATGATGACCTTACATTGAGCTCTCCTTTCCTGTAGCGTCTTCCAGTTTAGTGCCTGTAGCATTGATGTTACGCTACTTGTTCTTCTATAATCATTAAGTACAAATCGTGCGCATCTGCGTTGTATAGCTTCTAATTTGTTTATGTTGTCCTTAGTAGATGGATCCCAGATGGTACTAGAGTATACCATGAGTGGTCCTTTTCTATCTCAAAACTTGGACGCTGTTAAAAATATAACATAACTATTTTTCAATCAATTATATAATTTTACAGTATATTTGTCATTGTCTTTGTGATTGTCAAACGACACTATATAACTCTTGGTATTATGAAAAGTGCTTTAATTATAACCCTATGAAAATTTAACAACAGTTTACACCACAGTTACCATATGGTACCTGAAAAACAGAAAACTACAGTATTAACCAACTAGATTTTCTCAGGTGCCTGAATCACTCACCTGACTTATTTGGTAAAATTATATAAACCAGTCATTCATGCAAATAAATGTTGGTCTTGGTGACCTGATTCTGGTACACATGTTGACTACTACAAAAGATGTATCCACTGACCAAATATCATCCTTCTATGACTTGAGGTTGCTGAGATAATGTTTTGACCATAATTTAAAACTTAAGTTGGTCATGCAGAAAATGAAGGTCAAGGCTACCTGTTTCTGGTTTTGATGTTGGTTACTACCTAAGATGTTTCCATTGACCAAATATCATCCCTCCATAACTTAAGGCTGCTTAGAAATGGATCTTAACTTAAAAATAAAGCTAAGTCGTTCATGTGGAAAATGTAGATCAAGGTGACCTTATTATGGAACCATTGTGGACTATAACTCAAGATGTATCCACTAATCAAATATTATACCTCTATGACCTGTAGTTGGTGAGTTATTGACTATAACAAAACGCATTACGGAAGGAACCCATGTTCTATTTTCAGATATGGCGGCATTAGTCGGTTGATTGCCAGTCATAAACACAAACTTGGTAGGGGACACCCTAAAGAGGAAGTGTGTAAAGTTTCAAAGCGATCCCTTCAGTGATTACGGACGAAAATATTTTTTACAGACAACGGATACCAAGTGATGACAATAGCTTACATGACCCTTCTGGTCAGGTGAGCTAAATCTAGAGGCTCCAAGGAGCTTGATTCATTCATCGTTGAAATTGCCGCCATTATGAAAAACAACAGTTCAATGACAGAAATGCAATCACCACATCATAATCTACTTGAAAACCAAATTTTGTCCCTATCGGATCAATTTTATATCTTGGCTGCCATATTAAATTCAAAATGGCCACCTTAAAAAAACAAAAGGGCTGCAAAATACTTCAGATTATCCTAAACCCCCTTTTTACTAATTTGCATCAAGATCAACAAATATTAAACCGTTAGTACAATCTGTAATATTATGAAGAATGTGTACAATATTTTTTGCAGTAGACAAACTCACCTGCTTTCGCCTGTGTCTTCTTGAAGAGTGTGACAACCTCTCTCAGTCTTACTTTCCAACGATTCTTTGGTCAAATAGAATAAATATTAATGACGAAAAGGTGACTTATTTACGTTTTAGCGACATAGAAGAAATCGACAACACTTTCTGTTTGCAACATTTCGATATTTTTATGTCGATAATGCAGATAAATTTTATCGACATAGTTTATATTATAGCATTGTGTTGACATCTTTTATATCGATCACTTCACTTGTTTATGACAAATCAATATAAGTTATATCGACATAAAAAATTTAAATCGTATTTCTTTATAGAAAATCGATATGAATTATATCAACATATATCTTTGACGTAAACATTACGACATAAATTATGTCGTGAAATCTACACATTTTACGTTTTAGTGCATTTTTTTAACTCGAGTTGTTGCGAAAAAAATGATTATGTCGACAAAAATATGCTGTTTTATGTCGACAAACAAAACACATAGATGCCCTAGATACGTTTCAATAATGACTCTAGAACGGTTAAAGTGACACAACTAGAATTCATACTTGATCTGTATTTTGTGGTAATAAGCATTTTTTATAAGTTTATTTACATTTACATACTTAAACTGTGAATGGTATATACACCATTTTCACATGATTATCATCACTCCAGTCCCCATATGAAATTTACTGACAGCTAGTGTATATTTATAGATTATCGTTGATCAACTCAACGAGATTGGTTTTCTCGCTTGAGCCGGTGATAATCTGTTTATCGCTATTTTACCTATGACGACGTTGTCAATTTCATGTCAATTTCATTAGCAACGCCACGTGCCCCCTTAGTTTCTAGCGATAATTTTCCTATCACTCGACTCCGTTTCATATCACTCGACTCCGTTGAGAGAGGCAATTATCAGTCAGGAAGATCAAAGGAAAATTTCGTAAAATAGCGATAAACCATATTATAGGTCACTTCTTGGCTGTGTAATGAATATATCTTACCAACAACATTTTGGTTCATTGTAATTTCTTATAACTTTAAATACTTCAAATGCATTATAGTTCAAATACATCTATGCAGCATGATGTAAACACTATAAGTTAATGTAATGCATTCTAGTTCAAATAACATTGATGTAGAACTTAGTTATAGACTCAATACAATACTAATTTAAATAAATAATACTGACAAAGCCAACAGTATAGTCTTTTCATTAATTCAAGTCCTGTAAAAGCTGTTAATGGAATATACACCGTCTTTACATGACCACTTTGCTTGGCTTGAGGTAAAAAATGTAAGGCAAAATGTATAAAACACATTGGTAAATTGCCATTAAAACTATATTGCAGAAGCTATAATGAGTTGATGTCATCACTAGAATCGCCAGATGAGAGAGAAAGTTCTGAAGAAGAACCAATGGAAACTGATTTGTAAGACACCAGTACATTGTATAATGACATTACAGATATGTGAAAGTTTGAATTTTCCGTCAACATTTATTAAGCTCATTTCACGTGTTTTTTTGTTTTTGTTTTTTATAAAAACAGATAAAGCTAGAGGATAAAGTATTTTAACAAATTGCATATTTTCCTATACAAAACATATTTTGGCAAAAATATTTTTTGTTATACACTCTGGATCATTTTTATAAGTGCATGATAGATTTTTTTTTTAATTGACTTTTTTGAAACCACAAGGTCAATTGGAACCAAACTTGTTATGAATGGTTCTTTGGTGGTCAAAGATGGCAGCTGCTAAGTAACTAAAAAAAGAAATTTCCTTAAAAGACTAAAACAGCTTTATTTTTCAGCAAAATGGCCTTAAATTTTAACTATAGCCTCATGAAAGATGAGTTTGACATTATATTTTTGGAATTCTTCCAAAAAATATACAGTTTGCTTATCTACATAAATATGAACCTTATCTATCTTTTTGTAATTTTTAAGAGGAAGATATATTCTTTAAGTGTGCTTCATGATCATATAACTTTATCAATAAATAGCGCAATGTCTATATTGTATATGCAGACCTCCTCCTGTTAGAGAATCATGTGATATCAGGGACACCATACTAGAATAGAAGTTGGAATTAATAGACCTTGACAATTTCCAAACAATTAAAGTAAGCAGAAGACCAGAATCACTATGGGAACATTCTCTACGATGTTTTCAGAGATCTAGTTTTGATGTCAGAAAACTGTTAAAGGTATTTCTTTAGATCATATTTTTTTTTCATTTAAATGCTGACTTCCCAAAGAACGTTCATGTAAAGCAAAATATTGTCCTATGAAATATTGTCCACCAATACAATATTTCATGACTGTGTATCATGAAATATTGTCCTGATCTATGAAAAAATGTCCAGAGAAGGACAAATTTTCATTGTGAAATTTTGTCTGTATATAGACAATATTTCACAGATGAAACTACTGAATGGATTTTAATTATGCTCATATAAAGTTAGTCTACATAGATTGAAGTTGTTCACCATGCATTTATATTTTCCTTGGAGGGTCTTGATAGATTTTAAAAGGGGGTCCCAATTGGGTTTACTACAGGTTGGTATGGGCGGTAACCTACAGTGATACTATGAAACTACCGAATGGATTTTAATGACACTCATATCTTATAGGGATCCAAATTGGGTGTACTATACATGAAGGTTGGTATTGATAACCCCCCTAAATGAGTTTCGTGGCATTCAGGGTCTATGGGATTGATTTTTGTTGGTCTATAACGCAGTAGTGTTATTGTAAGATGCAAACAACTGTGTGCAAAATGGGGATATTTGTGAGTCAGCCGCTCGCTTGGATCTATGTTTTATATTACCTTCAATTTTAATCATGTTGAGGACTTGTAAGCACTATTTATCCCAAACTTGTTATCAATTTGACAAGTAGGTAAAACAATGTTCATTTTGGTCAAAATGCCTTGTTAAAATAACCTGCAAAATGCATGTCCATATTTAAAAGGGATTTCACCCATTAATGTTTACTATTAATATAATTCCTCAACATTGCACAAATGTATCATTGATTATCGGTTCATAAATATTTATGCAGAATGTATTTTTTCAGGTTGAATTCAGGAATGAAAGTGGCCAGGATGAGGGTGGTTTAAGGAGGGAGTTTTTAGAAATTCTCTTTAGACAGAGACGTATTCCAGTCTGACTTTGAAAAGTCCAGTCTGACATGATCCGTACACGTACTTTTTCTGATACTTGGGTTATTTGCCAGCCGGTATTTTCTTAAAAGTCCAACCGCACTTTTTGTAATGCTGACAAGAAAATAAACACGGCTGGACTTTTGAGGAAATTCATTCCTTTCTGTAGAATGATCAGCAGGATTTTTGTCTTAGAAAATTTTACATTCATTTATGAGCAGGAATTTAGACTTAAAACATTTTCATTACCCAAATCTTATACCCTTATATATATACAGAAATAAAAAGTTTGCCACAATAGATTCTGTTTTTTGAAAGGAACAATTCTTTCAAAATGTAAAACAGTTAAAAATGAAAGTTTGCAAGTAATAATAATGATAAAATAATTTTTTGCAATATAGTTTTAGTTCAAACTATAAGATGTGATACTTTCCCTAGATTTTCAATTCCATTATGGAATATTTAACATAGACTGTTGATGGAAAGATCAATTTAATTTTGGTGACTTTTGATTGAATTATATCCAAGTTAATATGTTTAATACAACAATTATTTAACATTTCTACTTTTTTCATAAAAAAACACTAGCAACATCTGTTACAGGTTAAATTTATACATTTTCTAGTATATTTATATTTAGTTAGATGAATTCATAAAATTAATAATTATCATTCATTCTTTAACATCAATTAGAAACTTGAGCTTAATTCTTATTTTTGAAGAGTAAAAAGAATAAAAAACCTGCATCAAATATTTATATTCATGCAATAATTTTCATCTTGTCTGTTATGTCACTGTCACTTCCTGTTTTGAATTGTTATGTTAAAAAATGTATTGTTATATTTTTTATTCCCTCTGTATTAAGGAATGGTTATTATTTGAGTTGTTTTGAAAGTTTTTTTATTTCTACACTTTAAGTAATTTTCAAAGCCAACTTTATTTTATTTTTAGCCACTTTAAAATTATTTAGGCTATTATAGCCACAAATTTTTAGAAGTTAGCAGTTAGCTTCTCAATTCCCCATTTTTTTTAATCTTGGTTTTGCCAGTAAGACAGTACAAAAAAGAAAAAGAAATAACCAGTATATATTTATAATGTCATCTGTTTTCTTTTGTATTTTCAGATTATAGCAAGGGATGCATGATGTAAATCAAATCAGAAGAATCAACCATCTGAAGAAAAACAGAGCAGTGGCGGATCCAAGGGGAGGGTTCTGGGGGTTGGAACCCCCCATTATTTTGACGATCAATGCATGTGAATAGGGACATATGGTTGGACCCCCCCCCCCCCCTATCCTGAGTTAGGAACCCCCCTTTTGAAAATGGCTGGATTCGTCCCTGCTGAAATCATATTTAAAAGTCAAACTGCACTTTTTGAAGTCCAGCTGGACTTTATAGAGTTCAGCTGGACTTTTGAAAGTTCAGCCGGACTTTGTAAAGTCCAGCTGAACTTTATAGAGTCCATATTTTTGCCAGAAATGCCGGCTGGATTTTTTTTTCAGACGTACTTTTATTAAAGTCCAGCTGGACTTTATGAACCGGACTCCTGCTAATTTAAATATTTCGAGCCGGTTTACGGCTAATTTCGCTGAAAGTCCAGCCGGGGTATCTATTATAAGCAATTCAAAGAAAAGTCCAAACGAATATTATAAGTACGGTTCTCAGTACGGCTACAGTACGGCTACTGTCCGGCTGGAGTACGTGTCATGTTTTTCATACGGGTTATCTTAGAAATGCTAACCATATGTTCATTATAATTGATTTACAGTCTGTTTACGTATACAGTGAAATCTGTCTAAACTGAACAGCCTTGGGACTGAAATTTTTGTCCTGAGTAAACAGATATTAAGTTAAGTAAACTGAACAGCATTGAGACTGAAATTTTTTGTTTGAAGTAAACAGATATTAAGATTATACGGGATAAATTATCATAGAAATTTAACTTTGTGGTCAAATAAAGGTGTTAGGTTGAGACTGGTTTCCGGTTCACTCAGGTTTCGGTTTCACTAGCTGTACATTGAATTTCTTTGTTCAGACACAGGTGATGGTTACGAAGTAACAAGTAACATGATGGGAATGGTTGATAGACATTTCCATACTTTTGGGAAAATGCTTGGTACCATTTTGATACAAGGAGGACCAGTTAGCCCAGCATTTTCACATATGATGATCAACTATGGACTGAAAGGTTTGGACAGTGCAACAGTTGACAGTGTACAAGATGCCAACTGCAAGAATATTATTTCGAAGGTAAATACTATATTCAATCAAACATTCCTCATTTCATGCTGGACTGGCAACAAACTTGGCCACCAAATGCAGTTTTTGTTACTGATTGGTTGAAAGTAAAAAATAATCTTCTCTGAAACTACAATGCAACAAACCTGGCCACTATAGGCAGTTCTTGTCTCATATTGGTCAAACATTTAAAATCTTCTGTGAAACTACAAGGCCAATTAAATGATTTGTAACTTTGAGGATTGATATATGGAAGATCCTTTACAAATATGCTTTATTTCATGCTGATTTGACAACTATTCTGGCCCTGTTACGTACCATCTATATAAATTTATCTTTATTTTTGTATTTTATTTTGAAGGTTACTTTATAATTCGCAACATTCATTTTGTTTTTATATAGCTACCATATAACAATACTGGAGTGTCATTTCTTTTCTTTTTGGTAAAAAGACATTCAGTCTTAAGGATGTACTTAAGTGAGGTTTTGGAATTCGTGTCGGATTTATGGACTCCTTGGTTTTTTCCCTACGATATAGGGTAAAATATTTTGCCCCATAACACCATATTTTCTTTTCATATAAGACTGCAATAGATAATAAAAGGTCATTTACCAAAATTAAAGCAGATTTTTTATTTCTTTTCTTTGGATTTAAGACCTAAATAATACCAATGCAAATATAAGGTAAAAGTCCGAGTCAGCCTTTTCCCGCCATTTTTTAAAACTCAAATATCCCAAAAAGTAGCTGCATAACCTATAAATATTTATAGATTATTTTGCTCCTTAACTAATACTCTTTCCACTCATAGCATCAATTTTCAATTCTTGATTTTCTAAGTTTCACCTTAGTACATCCTTACATACTATGGATATATTTACAGATCCAGGATGCTGATTATCCAGAACATCTCATGGAAGATGAATGAGTGATGAATGTATTGGAAGCTGCTGGGATTTGTACAATACTAAACCCAAAGGCAAAATCATCAACAGTCAAAGCACTGATATTGAGTAACTCTGACATTCTCAGAAAACAACCAATGCTTGATGCATTTTGGGAAGGAGCAGAGTGTGTAGGATTAAAAACTAAAAGTTACTACAAAATAAACAAGGTAAAATGTGATTTAAGCTAATCTCATTACTAGGTTTCATAAATTAATCATCATGTCCCATTCATCAAAATTTCTTTCTTAAAATTTGTTTTTCTCAAATAGAGCTGAATGTTAGCAAGCAATGCAGAAACATTCATTATGAGATATTGATAAAATATTGATTTCAGACTCTTTCAATGTTCAAGATAGCTGTAAGTATGCCATTAAAGTCTAGATTTTTCCAGTTCTTTAATATTACATGAACACATTTGTATTATCTTTCAACACTAAAATCACATTGTATAAAATATAAATGCTTATTCTACTGCAATCGGATAAATATTGATAGTCCTACATTCTATCGTCATGCTGAAAACAGTCAAACTGTTGATATTTTTTTTATCAGCTTGAGAGAATTTTATGTCACAGATGTGGTAAGCCACCAAAGATATCTGCCGAAATCCTCATGGAAATGGTGGATGTCAGCACATTTGGAAGATCTGGCAGTAATGCCAGGCATTATTCAGAGGATGTTGATCAAAATTTTGAAAGTTTTGTGCATGATTGTGAAGGTATATATATTTACCGACTGTTGATATACAGTTGAACCTCTTTGTGTCGAACTTGGTTGTTGATCGTCCAAGCAAAACCTTAGTGTGAGAAACATATTTCACCTGATATAATAACAAAACAATTCACACCTCGCCTTAATATTTTTTTTACCTTTTTTACCTGGAATTCACAGCTAAGGCGAAATTGGAACACACCTTTTAAATGACTAAAGCTGATATTAAGCAATTTGTTCAAATAAAATTCATTAATTAAAATAATTAAAAAGGATTATGTGTTTTAGTATTATATAAAGTATTTGATAACTCTTAAAAAGGGTACTATATTTTGGATGATTTTGCCAATTATGAGAACTCGGCTTGCTTGACAAAAAATAATAAAAAATCTTCTCTAAAATTACTGGGACAGTTGGAACCAAACTTGACATGGATGATCTTTGGGTGGTCCAATTCCAAGTGCCATTGTTAAAAAAATATATATTTTCTTAAAAACACATTTTGGCATAATTGGCTCAAATTTGAACTGTAGCAGCAGTTCTAGTAGATGAACATATTTTTGTTTTGGTGGAAAAAAATATGTATTTTTGCTGATAAAATTATGGTTAAATTTTTTTTTCAAATATATTGACATTTACTGCCACAAAAACCTATAATTTTCATAAGAAGTATACATATGTAACTCTGGTCATAGGTAATTCAGGTGAGCTATTACAGGCTCTATGAGCCTCTTGTTTTTTTTAAAAAGTTTTACTGGTATGTCATATTCTGATATTAGCTCATGATTAGTGAATGATAAAACAATAACTTGATCACTTATTGAACTGTTTGGTCATGATAGACTATTTTATATCTCTAGCTGAAAATTCAGACCTGAAATATGAAGTACTTCAAAAATTGCTGAAATTGGTGGCCAAATACAGTCCTTATCGTACTTTGTCCTTTCAGAACATTGTTAGGACATCTGTTTTGATTTTGATTATATATACATCAGTCATTCCAGAAGGGTGGGTTGCAAACATTTTTGTCATTTCATGAGGTCCTCAGGGAAGATTAGTGTTATAGCTAACTGTGTAACCCTCTTTA